CTTTGGGGTTTAGGGCTTTGAGGGTTTAGGGTTTTGGGGTTTAGGGTTTTGGGGGTTTAGGGTTTCGAGGCTTAGGGCTTTGGGGTTTAGGTTTGGGGTTTAGGGCTTAGGGGCTGAATAGTTTGGATGTAGGGCTTAGTTTAGGGTTAACGTATAGGCCGTATAGGGTTTTTATGGTTTGGGTTTAGGGTTTCCTGATGGAAGTTTGAAATGTTGCAGCTTAGGCTTAGGGTTTACCTGGACCCTGAATGTAGCATACCTTCTTAAGGACTTCTGTAAGGAAATCACAACAACGAAACCTAAAAGATCGGTTATTTGGTGTTGAGGTAGGTCATACGAAAAGATCGCTTTGCTTTCAACAGCTCTCGAAATAACTTTAAGTGAAGGATCTAGATTGAGCGGATAAGGAAAATCAGAATTCTCCCAAGCCGGTACCTCGCGTAGGTTTGGGGAATGTTGCTTTACTTCAGGATATCGGGTCAAGTGTTTAGCAGATTTGGATCGGGACCTAGGAGTTTTCAGGATCGGAGCTTGTGGGAATTTGATTCCTGCTACTTTTCAGGGCCGCCTCATCCTCTCGCTTCTCGAACACTCCGTCTGAAAGCCCTTCTAGAACAGAGGCTCCACGAGGATCCAGTTCTACTACGGCTACCATGGAAACTACGACTACCATGGAACTAGGTCACCAAAACCATGATAAGCACGGTCTTTCTGGGACTGTGCCAAATTATGCTCCCCTGCAAGCTGCCGCTGTCCACGGAATTTTTTGAAACAGCCACGGGCTCCAAAACAAACCTCAAGTGAAGGAATGGACCCAAGCCGTCGATGCACTCGGTCCAAACCCTGTAAAATCCAACAAACGCACGACGCCCAAGTTTAACCCCCGATTCCAAGCCCTGAAGCTGCAAACCGAGAGAGGCCTTATGCCCCTTCCTAGGCTCGAAGCACCAAACCTTAAATAGTTAGTTAATCCCTCCAACCTACGAAAGCCTGTAAACTATTCCCCGTAACCAACCCTTCAAGTCCTGTAAATGAGCCCCCTAAACCCTTTTTTTGAACGAGGTCTCTCTGAAGTGTTAGGGGGCTAAACCCTAAACCCAACAGCCCGAATGCCGCTAAAGGTCCTTGGGATGGCTCCCCTCCCGGCCAGGCACGTGCGCTCGGGTGCCAAACTTTGAGCCAAACAGCGAGCCAGGTTTAGAGGGATGCCTGAAACCTCTTGCAGAATTTCTCGCAGGGGTTTCTCAAAGTTGTGGTGGTATTTTGTAAGATGTTTAAGGGGTGACTGTCTAAGGGCTTCAAGCGTTAATAGCGGGGCGCGACTGTTGCCTTGTAGTTCCGGGCATTGCCGTCTATGGAGCTCGTAGAACCTCAAGATCAAGACCCGTCTTGGGACAAAGACCCCTCTGGTTCAGCTTTACGTAGTCCTTCTTCAGGTTCACCAGCCTACTTTCCGCTTCCGGGGACTCAGGAAAGGATCCCGGATAAGGAGTCCTTAAGCAAGTCAAGGCGATATTAGGGTGGTTTAGTGGGGGGGGCTGAAGGGAGGCCACAGATCTATGGTGTGCGATCAGAAAATAGGGATTTGATTTAAGGATTAGGGCAGGGGTTTCCGGAACATGTCCCTTAAAGTCCTAAACCACCTATGAAACCTCTTCAATGAACCCCTATATTATAGAACTCAGAAGGACGCCCTAAAGCGTCAACACCCAGAACCCCCTATCAACCATCATGATGAACTCCTACCTACAGTAGAACCCTGCTGCAAAGCCCGACACTCTACAAGTAAAGCCCTGCAGCCCTGACACGGCAATTCCGGCAACAGAGAACCTCCTTCTGATCCTCGAGCTCGAGGAGCATCTCTCCGAACTTCGACACCTCTGGGCTACACTGGTCTACACGGCTTGATACTTCAGTTCAAGGGTTTAGATCCACAAGACTTTGTACACCGGTTGTACAGGGTGCTTCATATAAGGGTTGTGACGGCTTTATAGGGCTTTATATAAGGGTTGTTCAGTTGTGACTGGGTTTATACGCTCCTTTACTTGGCACTTACTTTGGGTTGTATACGGCTAAAGCTTCATATTCGGGGTGCATAGGGCTTTGCAGGGCCTTTAGGTAAGGGTGGTATTGGGGTTTATAGGGCTTTTCATGAGGGTTGCACATATAGTAGGGTTTTGTGAGGCTTTATGTAGAGGTTGTATATGATTTTCATGATTTTCATAGACCTTCCTAGAAAGGACCGCCGAAGAGCTTTAGTCAGACCTCGAGCAAGCGTTCTTCGGACACGGGCGGTGAAACAAAGCTGAAGATCCCGGCCCCCAGGTTCCGGGGGAGAACACAAGCCATCAGGACAGGTGGAGTAAGGCGTGGCAGTAGGCCTTTGGGCTCTACGGTTTCATCGCGTGGCACGTAACTCCGTAAGTCTATTGCAGCAGCTACATACAGCTAATTCTCCCTGGCCCTCTGCAGCCAGCAGCAGTCTGAGAACGAGCCTCTTCCTGGCCGGAGTTGGGCTGATCATGTAGCCTGGCATGGCTGAAGCTACCTGCGCGGATCTGCTCTCGAAGGATCGAGGACTGCATGCAACAGGAGGCCGAGGGCAAACAGCGCTCCTTCAAATGCCCAAGCTCACGAGGCACCTGACCAATCCAGCTTCGCGGCCAGGCCCTGTCCAGCCAGCATCGTGGAGCAAGGCAGTGTCTTGGCGACACAAGTGCTTGTCGGCCCAAGTGACAGAACCAGAATCGACATAATATCCTCCTGCTGTCCAACTCATCAAGTCACACGAGTCCTCCAAGCTTGCGCCGAAGCTGCTTATGATCGTCTTCACAGTCGCAGACATGCCAGCTCTGGCACATTGGCCAAGCTGCCGGCCACCGCCAAGGCGTCGGCCGTTACCAGGAGGCTGAGGACGGACTCCAAGCCTTCCACCATCTTCTGCCTGAGCAACGTCTCCGTCTTCATGCGCCTGATGTAGCTGTGTACATCCTCTGCCACCTGACCAAATGTGCCAAAGTTCACAAATTAAGTTCAGCATGGCAACTCCTGGACGAGCCTGCTGCAGAACGGCGGATGCAATGCCATTAAACCTTCTCTGCGGGTTGGTCTTCAATAATATTGAAGACCAAGCCGCAGAGAAGGCAAGCCATCCACAAGTTCAAGACATATTCCGCTTCGCGACGGCTACGAAATAGTTCAGGGCATCTAGAATCACATCTACGAGCGGGAGCACGGTGTTCTTCACAAGGCCCAGCATTGTGATTCTGCGGCTTACGGCCGCCTCCAGGGGCGGCACACAATCCTCCCACACCTCCTCGCACTCGCTCAGCTCGACCTTCTCGGAGACGAGTCAAGCAAGGGCTGACGCTGCCGAGCCAAGGAGCTCCTCGTGCCGCACACCTGTCAACAGCAGGGTTTCGATGGCGATTGCCGCTGCGAGGGCATGCCGTGCACTGGGCAGCTCGGCTCCTACATGTGGCCGCGAGCGAGCGTGCGGCTCTGTCACTTCGGTCTTGGCGGAGCACCCTGCAAGCTGCGTTGATGGCTTCAGGATCCTGGAGCTTGTGGCGCACATCCTCGCAGAGGCCGGTGGCCAAGCTGTCCAACGCCGTGCAGCAGACCGTGAGGCTAAGGTTCCCGTCGATCGTCCAAGCGCCCCCTCATCTCGAACATGTCTTGGCACGGCCCCGGCAGCCACTACCGCCCGCTTGGCCTCTGGGCCACCCAGGCAACAGTAAACCAGCAGTACCATAGCAGCATGAACGAGATGACATGAAGCACGGGAAATGTTCTGCAAGCGTGCCAACAGCACCAGCATTGTCGCAGCATGTTCTTCCCAAAGCGGGCGGGGCTCGCTGGCGACGTCGTGGCTGCGCTCCAGCGCAGCAGCATAGAGGTGGCACAAGACCTCCACTGCTTCGTCGAGGAGGTCGTTCTCCATGGGGGGTAGTTTCGAATTGCCACTGCCACGGGAGCAATGAGCCCGTCCTCCAGCAGATGCGGCAGCGGCCTCTCGCAGCTCGGCAGGCGGCAAAGGCTCCATAACTCCAGGACGGGCTTGGGCTGCGACTACGACGGCCCCAAGGGCCCTGTGCAGCGCACCATGTAGTGGCTGCTCCCCCATCATAGCTCGTCCAAGCTCTCCTCTCTCTGTGAGCCCTCGCCCATTTCCGAGCCATTCTCTTTCGAGATCTGTTCCTTTTGGAACCCGTCCTCTGCCTCAGAGCGAGAAGTATCTTGTGTGCCCTCCTTGCCCACTTCCGCTGCAGGCCGCAGTTCAAGTGCCGCATGCAGCAGCAAAGTGACAGCACAGCACTGGGTAGGGCATGGTGGCTCTTGGTGCTAGCTCCTAGCTGCAATCCCTCATCTCTGTCTCGAGCTTGACGAGGGAAGATGCTGTGGTAGATAATGTACCGGCCTATCACACTTCTCAAAGCAAGAGAATTTACGACATGGGCGCTGCTGCGAGGGGACAGTGTTTGCAGATATACCGATCTGTTCACCTGCATGCTATAGCCCAAAACCCCAACCCCGGTACTCATTGCTCCTCACAACGAAGAACGGCCTCCTGGAAGGGCAAAGTGAAGCTGACGTGCCCTTCGCTGCCAACCGGGCTCCGCTCCTGCAGCGATGACCGTGATGGTGACAAAAAAGATCTTGATGACGATGCACATGAAGAAATTAGGCATGAAGTCCTATCAACATGAGCTGACGTGACTTGCAATCAGGCTGGCGAACCTCCTAACAGCGAACAATGTTGGTAAGTTGGTGATGCAGGACCTGCCCCGCTAATGGTGGTGTCATTGAACACGGCCACTACCACCCTCACCATCATACATCATCCTCACTCATCTTGGCGCGGCACTTTCACCGCAAGCACCAGATTCATACCGAGCAGTAAATCATGATTATGATCACCTTCATGTCGTTTTTCATGCCTGCAGGCATCGCCCCCGATCGCCATCTTCAGCGCTGTATGGCTGTCACCATAAGCACCACTACCAGAATCTGCACCAACAGCGCCAGCAGCACCAGCAACACCAGCAAGCAGCAGCAGCAGGACCACCGACCAGCCCCAGCACTAGCACACCACTAGAGCAGGACCACCAGCCCAGCACCAGCACCAGCCCAGGCCCCAGCCCCAGCCCCAGCCCCAGCCCCATCCCCAGCAACGCCACCAGTACAAGCAGGACCACCAGCACCAGCACAGCCCCAGCACACCAGTGGACCAGCACCAGCCGGACCAGGACCACCAGCACAGCAGCACCAGCAGCACCCAGCACCAGCCCCAGCACCCAGAACACAACATAAATGTGCTTGTTGATGTTGCTTCTGCACTTTGGCTTTGAGGCATGCTCTTCCTCGTCGCTGCGCTCAGGGCTGCGCAGAGTGGCCGTGGCCACGTGCTTTCGGATCAGGCTGCCTGCCGTGGATTCGCGTTTGAAACCAAAAAGCTGGCAAAGTCGAAACCCCAGGGTCGACGTGGGCATAAGCAAGGGCTAAGGCTCCTGCTGCCGAGCATGGCGTTACGCTTACAGACCTCGTGAGGCTTTCGAAAGCCAAGGTGCTGACATCTGTCGCAAGGGGGATCTTATACAGGTTTGACTTGAGCTACATCAGGAGGAACTCGCTGCTGCAGCTAAACGAACTGAGTGGACCCCTGCCCCATGTCTCCCGGGGCTCCCCGGGCTTTCAAGGACCCTGTATGTATCAAACATACAGAATCCGCTTACTCCAAACCGTGCAGGCCCCAGGATCTGCAGCTCACACACCCGAATTATTAAACACTCCACAAGAACTAAGCCCCCCCATAAATCCTAACCCCAAGAAAACAAAAAAAACGCCTTCCAAGCTACGAGATGGAGCTCATTTAACTGTTAACAAGGACTGCGATATCATGATAGGGATCCTGGCAAAAGGAGGGGAGGTTATACTATCAGGGCCTTAAGTGTCTACGCCCCCAAACCTGGCTGCTTCAAAATCCTCCCCGCCTAGCGCTTCCGCCTCCTCCGGCGCGGGGGCTCCAGGCAAAAAGGCGACTTGGAGGTTGTAGCCAAGGCCGAACCTCGCATTGAGGTTGGGATGCGGTCAAGCTTCCTTTCCGGCGCTCAACTGTGGGATCAAAAATGCCTGAAACACGGGGGCCTGGAGTACAATAGGGTTCTGGTGGCAGAGTATATCAGCAAGGCAAGAAGCATGAAGCTAGGTTGGTAGATGAAATTCCGAAACTATGGGAGCCCAATAAGAACCCTGAATACTTCCCAAGTTTACTGAAACTCTCAGATATAGTATTCCGTATGGTCATCCTCAAGGTAACCCGTATAATAGCCTTTTTCAGCACCTACAACTGGGACAAGCCTGGTAGACGTCTTGAATAATAACTACCGATAAGTACCCCGAATGGAACCCTATGAAACCCTTGAGAAACACATAACACCCCATGAAGCCCGTTACTAAAGCCCTTATAAAGCAAAACAACCGTGTTAAGAAAAACAACAAAAACTTAAGTCGTAAGTCCGACCAACAATCCCTAACCCCCCCGGGTACCTACTATATAGGGTACTGGAGCCCCCAAGGCCCTGTATAGTAGGTACCTGGAGGGGTAGGGGATATTTATGTAGTAGAACGAGGCGCTGGAGCTTCAAATCTCGCGAAGTGCCAGAAGCTTGCACGCGGCCCCGGGCCAAAACAGCCTTCCTTCAAACATCGGGTTTTTAGGATTTCGGGATTTGGATTTTAGGATTTAGGGATTTGGGGCTTCAGGGATTTGGGGCTTCTAGGTTCTAGGGTCTGGGATGTATGGGGGCTAAAGTTGGAACATGGGTTTAGGATGATTGGTGCTGGGATTCTCTCTATGCTTTGGCTCGAGGGCATGAGGATGATGCTGTTCCAACTTCCTGGCGTCAGGCTTTAGGATTTAGGGTTTTGGGGTTTAGGGTTCAGGGTTTAGGGCCTATGCCCTCAAAACTAACTAGGCACAGCTAGGCGAGGCTCCGAATACCACAGCGACAGCACATTAGCTTTACTGGGGTCTTCGGGTCTAGGGTTGAGGCCCAGGGCTCCGGCTCCGGAAGGTTCTCCAATGCCTAGCCCTAACCCCCCAGGTACCTACTATAGAGGGCCCTAGAGGCTCTATAGTACCCTTTTAGTAGGTACCTGGGAGGTTAGGATAGCTTGTTTGTTTAGGATTTGAAGGGGGGCTCGGTATCTAGCTTAGAATGTTTGTTCTAGCCGCGCGCAACGATCCTTGCTGCAGATGAGGTGTTACATGCACTATGGAATTACTCATTCAACAACAACAGATCATCGCCTGCAAGGGTTTCGGGTGTCCGTTGTAGGGCCAGAGAGGCTTGGCTTTGATTCAGGGCATTCGAGGGTCGGAAATCGGACACCGGCTTGGCCCACTATTTGCAGAGAACCCCGAATTTCAGCAATGAACCCTGAACCCCTAAAGCCCTAAAGTGCAAGTACTCAAAGCCCTGAACATCCAAATCGCAGAATCCTTAAAGCTCTAAACTTAGATTGAGCTCGGCATGGCAGCCTGTGCCCAATGCAGCACCAGAAAATGCCAAGGGGGAGTAAGCTTTAGGGTTGAAGGGCCGAGGGTTTCTGGCAGCACCATCTGCGGGTTTGGGTCTTAGGGGCTGAGGGTTATAATAGTAAAGGTCTTCCACAGTTTAGGGGCCACCCCTCCCCAGGAACCTTATACAAAAAGCCCCTAAACCCTAAACCCTAAACACTATAAACCCTAAACCCAGAAACCTTGTACGTCTGTACACAAAAAGCAGGGGGTCCCGGTCCTGTCGGCCAGGACATCGGCCTCTTCGAGGTAGTGGGTGGTGAAGATGATGGACCTCCCCGTGGACCTCATCTTCAGGAGCAGCTGCCAGAGCTGGCGCCTGGAGGAGGAGGAGGAGGAGGAGGAGGCCCTCTTTAATGAGGGTTCCTCTAGGGATCTCTAGCGGCTCCTTTAAGAGTTCCCTTCAAAGGAACCTTTTTAAAGGGGACCCTATGATAGAACCCTATATAAAGTGCCCTTATTGCGGCTTAGGGCCTATAGGGCCTACATAAAGGGGGTAGACAGAGGTGTTGGAAATTGAAGTTTACGTTCAGGACCGTCCTTTATGCATGGACTCCGCAGGCCCTGTGTTGCGGTTTGCACTCTCTCGCCTCGCCGACGAAGGAAGGCTCCAAACGGGGATCCCTACAACAAGGAGCTTACTTGTTGAAGCTTTCATAAGAAGCTCGGCTTCCTTCACAACTCCACAACCAAACCCAGAACTCCACAACCAAACCAAGAAGGAATACTCACTTAACTTACCACGATTCAAAAGGAACCCTACATCCACTCCCTTTCAGACCCGAACTTCAACCCTATAAACCCTTACACAATCCCTCTAGCCACCCATGTCACATCAACCGCTTATGGAAGCCTTAACATGATCGGCCCTTCACGAACCCTGATACAATGTTCGTTATGAGCCCTTGAAGAGCCCTTAATTAATCTTATGAACCCTTCTTAAAAACCCTAAACCCTAAAAACCCCAAACCCTACACCCTAAACCCTAAACCCCTAAACCCCTAACCCTAAAGGAACCCTAAACCCTAAACCCCAAAACCCTATAAAAGGAACCCTCGAGCCCAAAGAAGGAGCGACGCCTGGAGGATGGATCCATGCCGCTGGTCGGCTCGTCCAGGAAGACCAGGGGCGTCTCCCCAAGCAGCGCCGTGGCGACCTCGGGAGCTCTTCTTTGTTGGGTTTTTAGAGGGATTTTGGGGGGTTTTGGGGTTTTGGGTTTTAGAGTTTAGGGTTTTATGGGTTTAGGGTTTAGTGTTTGGGGTTTTAGGGTTTAGGGTGACTAGTTTGTGAAGCCTCTTTGTCTTATGCAAAGCGAGGATAGCGAGGATACAGGTCTTTCCCGGTAGAGTCGCTGCAGACCGGATGCAAAAGGGTTTAGGGTTTAGGGGTTTGGGGTTTAGGGTTTTAGGGTTTTGGGTTTGTTTTCCCTCTCGCATGGCTAAGGATCTAAGCCCACAAGCGAGGTCGTTTTGGGACTTCGAGGTGCCTAGATCCGCCCCTGCAACACCGCCTAGCCCTAAATTCAGAACCCGGGGCGTTGGGAGCGTGGATCTCTAGGTTTTGGGTTTTAGGGTCTGGGGTTTTTGGTGCTTACGCTTTAGGGTACCGAGACAATGGGTCGCTAGTAACCTGCTGTTTTAGTCACTAGAGAGCTCTTGCGTTTTCGGATCGAATAAAGGGGCGTTGATCCTTCGAAGAGGGCTTAATTTGGGGGTATAAGATACTAACTTGTACTTTGGGGGCTCCGAGGGCCTTCATGATTAGAATAGGGTTGGGGCGCATACTGGAATAGTGTGAATATAGTAGGGACGATAAGGGGACATTGTTACTAAGCATGCAGACCCCTATAGTACGGCCAGGCTGGTTAGGTGCTCGGGAGCAAAGAGGAAGTGAAGAAACAGTGCGTTTTTAGACCCATACCGGGCCTGATCCAGATTTATGAGCACAGTAGAACATATCCTTGTGGGGAACCCGAAGTGATCATCTTTCCTCGGTCTGCACTTCCCTCCTATATAAGCAGCCGACAGGTCAGGTCCCAACAAGCTCAGGCAGAAGCGCTCACTTTTTCTCGAAGCAGAGGGCGTGGTCACTTTCCCATCAAAATGTCCTCACACCCGCCCCTGTAATAAGTCTACCGGAGCTCTCTTCATCGTTGTCCTCCGGTCTGTTCCATTGCGACGTCAATAAGGTCCTCATTGTAAACACACCACCCTCATTGGGACCTCTACAAACCCGCTCTAAAGCCCAACCCAGAGGACCTTACATTATCCTACATACCCTCTACGCCCTAAGCTCTTCTAGAACCCTGTTTTTTGAACCCTTACCAAAAAAATCTAAGAGGCCCCTTACAGGAGCCCTAAGCCCCTCGGAGGTCCTCATCCTCAAGTCCTAGCTTCTCAGCCGTGTCATCTGCAGCGATGCGCTCGCCATCCACCATGAAACCTTACTCCAGGCTTCCTTTAAGGATTCCTGCAGCCGCTAATTTTAAGGGTCCCTTTTCAGGGAGGGCTTAAAGATGCTGAAAGATTACAGGGTTATAGCATGCCAAAAACGGTTAAAAGGTTAGCATCTAATTCCTCTACCGTCAAGAAGCGCACTTGAGATGCCTGCAGGCCAAGGCGGCTGCAGTATGCATCCATGAGCTTGCGCAAAGGCGTCGTCTTCTTGATCTTGAACTGCACCTGGAGTAATGTACTTTACGCGGCTTTGGCGCAGCCGAACTTGACGAAACCCGCTTCAGCAGAGAAAAATATGTTGAGTGATTCTGAACTCCATTCGTGCTCCCGGCACAGTGCCGCCGTCATTCTGCCCCTGACATCCCTCGAAGCCACTTTTACGGCCACACTGTTCGGCTGTCCCGAAGCCCTGCCGTTCCCGTTTCCCGGGTTCTTGCTGAATGCTAGCCTGCTCCTGTCAGTCCCGCGCGTGTCAGGGGGCACGACTCGGCTTACCGCCACAATCTCGTGAATTGAATTGTGGCTCATCTCACGAGTGTACGGCAATGTTCATGCAGTCAAGAATCGTGCTCCCCATGGACAGTGGTGGGGAGGAATCGTGCTCCCTTCTTGGGCAGATAGAATGTTGAGCTTGCTCATCACTATTTGGGTCTACACTCAATAAAACGGCACAAGTTTAAGAAACCCCACCTCGCTTCCCTGCTGATCCTTGACCTTGAGCTGGATGTGCTGAGGTGCATCTCCGCCTTCTGCCATCGCTGTCACTGGAAGTCTTCGGTTGGTCGCAACGAGTTCGTCTCTTGAGCAAAACTCTCGCCGGGGTCAGGATGCGGTCATGAAGAAGCTGGACAAGCAAGTTCTTGTTCCACGAGCTCGTGGCAAACTGTGATCGGCAAACGAGGTGCTGCATGGATTTCTCATACACAAAAAAGCATCACCTTACACCTTTGCATGTGAAGCAGCAACTACGCCGAGGCAGTTCTTGCAGGCGACAAGCGAGAAGAAAACCTACAGAGCCCAACCCCCAAAAATAACCCCAACCCTAAACCCTAAAACCCCCAAAAACCCTGAAGCCCTATTTTGCATCCACCAAAACCCTAAAACCCTCAAAAACCCTGAAGCCCTATTTTGCATCCACCAAAACCCTAAAACACCCAAAAACCTCTGGAAAGCCGAGTTACCCAGAGTCGGCGCTTCTGCCCTCCCGACAGCGAGGTGCACAACGCGTCGACTTTTTCTGGGATGCCTGGGTTTGGGGGTTTAGTGGGTTTTTTAGCAGGAGCTTTTTTTCCCTCTCGCATGGCTG